GATTGCTGACGAGGTTGAAGGCAATTTCTGGCTATATGTACTTCTCTATTATAATTGTAACAAATCATGGAAGATATATTTTGTCTGAGTCTCCTGGTAGTGTCATTATAGGGTCGCTCTATTCGTCTCCTTAGTGGTTGTTGAGGTTGAGTTAATAAAACAGTAGTCAAATTAGCGTAGTTGATAAATAGCTGTTCTAATTTCTTAGTGAGTTCATCCACTTCAGCATTAATAACCACATTTTTAGGAGTAGAAACTGTAGTAATACTAATATCTTTGGGGCTTTTCTAGAGGCGAAATTATAGCTAATTTCAATAGTTCGCCTAGGGTTTACAGTAGCGTCTAAATCAGCTGGATTTTGTGAGTAGACTAACAGAGTGTAAGCAGGATTTAGTCCTAAAAGGAACATCCTTTTCTTCTGTGCATTATCTGTTAATCCTACACGAGTCACTAATTTCTTGAATTTATTAGCATAAGAATCTACAGATTCATCTGTTTGTTGTCGCAGAGAAGTTAATTCCTGATACTATTGATTTTTGCTAATAAAATGAGTTTCAAATAAATCTACAAAATTTTGACCACCATTAGTTCCAGTATTCCAATTGTTTCCCATGACAGTAGTAATACTATTAAACCAATCAGCCGCTGCACCTTTAAGGTATTTTCCAGCAAGGGCTTTCTTTCATGCTTCATTGGTCTATCTGTTAGTAATGGCAGCTCTTTCAAATGCAGTGAGCTATTCTACAGGGTCTTCATTTTTAGCTTCTGAAAAATAGTCAACATTAATAGTAAATCTTTCTCTTTTTTGAGCTAGGCGAAGTTGTTCACTGATATCTGTTAGGTGTTATCTATCATTTTCAAAAATTTCTTGAAAAATGGCTCTTATTTTAGCTTTTGTGACTATGTTTTCAGTTTCAACTGTGGGTGAATTAGAGGATGAGTTTGATAAGCTAGATGCAGAAGGTATCGAAGAAGCAATAAGACGTTGTAGTAATTGTCAATCTACTATAGGCCTTATTAGTTCTTGTTCTAATATTTCAGTATATATCCTTGAAGAAATAGATAGGGTAATAGGTTGTTGAAAACAATTTGTTCAAAAGGATATGCCTTGTATATACAAATATATTATGTCTGCTGAAAAAGTTCGAACACAATATCATATGCTAGAAAGGAGCTGGTAGATAACTCTTATTAGGTGAGAGTTACGATGTTCAGATTCAGGAGTACTACTAAATTGTTTAAATAGATTAAAGGCAATGATAGTTCTTGAGATAAAGGTATCTGCCTGATATTCACGTCTAAATCAGTTCTAAAAAAATTTAAATCTATTGGAAAGAGTTTCGATTGGAGAAGGTAGATAACATTAATTACAAGTATAATTTTGGTTAAGAGGTTCATCTAAGTAATGCCTAACTATATGCTCTGATGTAGTTCTCTCAAGTTCCTTAAAATTTATACATCTCGCTAGTTCTTCAGCAGTTCGTTGTGTATATCTTCAATAAAGATTCTCCTGGCAAGAATCACTACTTGTTAAGCCTAAACACTATGTTGTTAGAATAACAAAGCTTATTTGTTAACAGAGAGTTTAAGTTGTAAACTATGAAAGAAATAAATGCGAATTTATTTAAGTTGAAGGGTCAGATCGTCTTTATTAATGATTTATGTTTTAAGAAAATAGATATTAGTGAAAATATAGTTTTATGTTATTAAGATTATACTTTATTAATTGTACGATAGAAACTTATTAGTTTATCAAGGTAACAATATAGGATATTTATATAAAATACAATTATAAGATAGAAATAATAATAAAAGTAAATATAACTATAAAAATAAATACAATAAATAAATTAATGATAAACGTAATAATAAAGAAAATAAATATCATAACGATAACCATGATAACAGTGAAATTAGTGAAAATGATGATCATAATTTTTCTGGTGATCATTGATAACATTAGTTGGCGCAGTCATTTAGTGATATAAACAGATTATTACTAATAGCATAGCATTTTTTAATCATCATTTACTCAAAATCAATTTCTTATCCTGTAAGGTGATTTTAATAGCTTAGCTCCCATATATAGTATAATAGCAGTCATAAGTATCTGACTGTTTAAAATTGTCTGAAATTATTATATAACTACCCCTTAAATTTTCCAGAAATATAATGTAACACAATACATGTTCACCTGTAAATTTATAAGTGTCAATGATACAAAAAAAAATTTAGATGATCATTAAACTTTCGCTTGAATAATAGAACTTTCTTTAGAAAAACGATATGAAATTGTCTTTTTACGTGAGTACTCAGCTGGTCTAAAGTTTGTTTAGTTTTAGATTTATTGCTAAACAAGTACATTGTAATAAGTCTACAGCTATTTATTGAATTAAAAGATATCATGAAAATCAGACCTAAGTATTTCAAAAAAACAGGACAGCCTTATGTAATATTCGCAAAACAAGATAACAAGATTATAAAGATGGTAGAGAAAGAATATAATATCATAATATAACAGCCATTCAAATACAAAAAAAAAGGAAGAAAGAGGTGTTGGGCTTAGTGTAGAAACAATAAGACGATGTCTTCATAAGTCTGGAGAAAAGTTTAGTAATGAAAATTTTAAACCTTTGCTTAAAGAAAACCATCAAAAGAAAAGGTTGCAATAGGCAAAAAAACATTAGAATTTTGATTGGAATTGAGTTATTTTTACAGATGAGAGTACATTTCAATTATATATATCAAAAAAAAAGGTTTTGCAGTTTCTTGGTAGAAAAAAAGTGTTTCATTCTGTTAAGGATCCACCAAAAGTTCATGTTTGAGAATGTTTTTCTGCTTCTGGATTTGGTAAGCTATTTTGTTTTCAAAGGAATCTTAATGCTAAATTTATGTATACTATTTATAAATAGGGTCTTCTGACTTCCACTTCTAAACTTTTTGGTGAAGGTAACATAGATTGATCTTGCAAGAAGATAATGATCTAAAGCATTGATCGAAAATCGTAAAAAAATGGAAGAAAGAAAATAACATTGTGATACTTTCTTGGCCATCAATATCTCTAGACTAAAATCCTATAGAAAATGTTTAGAGATTAATGAAAATTAATATACAAAAAAAAAATTTGATCAATTAGAGGGTTAAAGAAAGAACTTACAAAAGAATAGAACTGATTATCACCTATACTTATCACAAATTTGGTAGCTAGAATGAAAAGGCGTATAGCTACACTTATAGAGTCAGATGATAACTATACAATGTATTAATTTTAGTTAGTTGGTTATGTATTTTTTAAATAAAAAAAATTTTTTGAATTTACTTACTTGTAGCCAGAGTTAGAGACAGTCAGATACTTATGACTACTACTGTAGCATTTAAAAGTATTATATCACCTGAATAAAAATTTTAAAATAGCATTTTTTTATGATTAAGATAGCATAGTATTATATAAATTATAATTAGATTTATCATAACTAAGTCTATTCAATATATAAAAATTGTTTTATAGTAATAAGATAAATTTTTAAAAAATATTTATTTTTGAACAATTAGATGATCCTTTTCTTTTGATTGTTTTTTTATTAAATTTTTTAAGTATATAAAAAAAAATCAAAAATCTAATCAACTTATTAAAAACTTTGGTAAATAATTATTTATCATTTTGTATAGCTGCCATTAACTCTAATTACATCATTTATACAAGTTGGCATAGAATTAATCAACTTTTTGCATACATAGGATCCAAATTTTTAAATTGCATCTCATAACTGATCCTATGTTTTAATAGGTATTCTAAGCTGCCTCAAATGATGATTTATTTTATTCTAAAAGTGTTCTATAAGATTTAAGTCAGGGGATTATGCTGGCCAATCAAGAACTTTAATCCTATTATCTTCAAACTATTGCTTTATAAGATATGTAATTTGTTTAAGATCATTATCTTGTTAAAAAATAATATTTTTCTTATTCATTCCTGTCACGTGATAGTTTTTAATAAGTCTTTCTTTAAAATTTAGCAATATAAATCACCATTCATATGTCCATAAATTTGGCATATGTTACCAACCTCTCTATCAGATGTAAAACATCCTTACACTATAATATTACCCATTCAAATTTGACTGTTGATTTAACATAATAATCACATAACAGTTCTCCTGGCTTTTTCTAACAATATTTTCTACTATCTGATCCATAAATTATAAATTTTGACTCATTTAATTAAACTACTTTATTCCAATCTTTAACTGTTCATGATTTGTATTTTTTTGCAAATTTTATTCTTATAATTCTATGTGTTTTTTGAAGATATAGTTTTTTGCACTTAACTCTTATACTTATTCCATTTCTATGTAAGGTTCTTTTTACTGTACATTCACTAACTTCAATTTATTCTTCTATTTTTAATTTTTTTTGAATTGCAACAGAATTGCTACATTTACCTGTTATAATTAATCTTAAAATTTTTTGTTCATATTGACCAATTAAGAGTTACGAATGCTCAGATTTATATTTGTCTTTATTATTACTAGTTTTATCTTTATATTGCTTAGTTTTTATAATAGTTGATAGAGAAATATTTTTCTTGTCTGCTATATAGCAGAAAGGAAAACCTTTATCAAATAAGGCACAAATCCTAGCTTTTTTTCAATTGAAAAATAAACCATAGATATTTTATAAAATTACAAAGAGGCAAAAAATACCATAAGGCATCTTTTTTATATGTATTGTATAGTTATTTTAAAGTAAAAAAAATCGTGTAATAAGTGTTGATATTTATTTCTTAAATCAATCAAAAGAAATGCATCACCACTTTGGCAAAAGATTAATAACAAAAAAAAATATTCTTAAAAAAAAGATGAAAGAGATTGATAAAAATTAAGATATGATGAACTCTATATTTAAGTTTTGTAATATTATGCCTTTTAAATTACAAGATATTTTCATTTTAAATTTTGTATTCAAGTGATGCAATACTTTTGATTACTACTGTATATGCATTAACTTTTATCTTTTATTATTATTGAAAATTTATTTGCATAAATATATGACTTAAACTGATTTAGATGATCTATAACTACTGCTAATTCTCTGATGTGCTCTGCCAATTGAATAATCACATGATCATATATTGCTTTAGTTACCCTAAAAAGGAAATCAATATAATCAATTTGCATAATATCAACCTGTTTTCTTAGAAATTAAAATTTCCTTTTGAAAATTCATATGACATTATATGATTTAATGATTTTTTTATATAGGAACTTTAAACGTTACATATTTTTAGTTAGAAAGATAAAATATGTATTATATGTAATCTAGATAAGTATATAAAAATTTAAAATTAAATTTTATTATATAAAATATTTCATCTTAATTTTTTTTATTTTAAACTTTTTCAAAATATAATATTTTATAATAAAATTTATATTATATTTTAAGTAAATTAAAAAAAAAATAGGTTAATGAGTAAAATTTAAATTAAAAATTAATGAAAGCTAGTTAAAATTCAAGCAAATTTTTCTGCAATTTCTATGATTTAAGAGATAATAAATATTTTTATCTAAAGTTTTAATAGAAGTTTTTTAAAGCTTGATTAAATTAAAATTAAAACATTCAGTCAATAAAATAATGAGCTTTACATTAGCTCTATTTTCATTAAAACCAACTCCATCATGAAGTGTAACAATATAATCATCATGAAGATTTGCTAGGGCAGTGAAAGTACAACATATTCAGTTGAAAATTAACAGGAATTATTAGAATTATTATTTCGGTAACTCCTATAAATTAACGGGTGAAATAAAACATTATTTCACGACCTGTTATTCTTCTTTTTTAGATTATTAATCCATGTATACCGTCTAGATTCAAAAAATATAATTATATTAACTATGAAGTTTTTTTCAAATAAACGTAAATTTTTTTTTATGATTTTACAGAAAACACCTTATATAATTTTTTGTAATAATGAATTTTTCTTGAGGGGGAAAGAACTGTTGATTCCTTTGTGCAGAAGAATTTTAAAAAGAAAATAATTTATATATATTTTTTAAAAAAGTTTATTTATCGGACTTGCTGTAATTCTAAATAAAATAATTACCAATAATCAATTCCTTATCTATAAATCTGAAAATACTCTTATGGTCCTTCTATTTCAATTCAAAGAATAATAAGTTACAAATTAATAAGGAAGAAAGAAATCTGCAAAAGAACGTAAGCATCTCATTGTTTAAAACATCACGAAATTTATTCGATGAATCTCTTTTATTTCTTCTTGATATAAAACGTACCGTACAGAAATCGTTATTGCACCGATCTTGCCAAGAACTCATGTCTGGCGGCGAAGGATTACTATCCCAATGATTTGTGATTTAGCCATCGATACCTTTCGTACTCTACTGACCCAAATAGGTAAGGATTAATTGGCTATGCCCAAATGTTTTATCGCTTAGATTTTGAACGCACTTTAAATTTTATAATTCTTTCACTCTCCTGATTGATTTGTATTTAAAGTTGATGATGCTGGTTTCATCCATTATCAAGAAATGTCATCCTTATCTAGATTTTTTTAGAGTATTAAATAATATAATTTTTGGACCTTTCGCATAAATTCGTGATATAAGGATCTGGGTTAATGAAAAATTAGTATACTTTATATATCCCGGTCATTTATAAATAGATTAAATTTTATTTTTTATATTTGTAATTTGGCATTATTTGTCATTCATTATTAAAGCGATTAAAATCATGTTTAAAAAATTTATTGTTTAAGATAAAAGATAAAAAATTAAATAAATAAAAATAATTATGATTATAAATATCATCATAATTTTTAAAAAATATTTTCTTTCTTTTCTTTTCTTTTCTTTTATCTCTTTCATCCTCGTTCTTTCTTCCAACCTTCTCCTTCTTATTTCTACATGGTGTTTCCTATAATACTCCCCCGCAAATAAAATAAAAAAGAATGATGAGTAATATTATAATATCATCAAAAAGAGATGATTTATTTAATAGTATAACTCTTCTCCCATTTTCAGTTACACCTTATTTTGAAAATACTGCCTACCTTTTACTCTTTCTTTTTGGTTTTTTCCTATTAATTCACCTTTCAAATTCTTCGGCTTCACCAAAGTAAAACGTGTCTTCTCTTTGAATATTCATTACTAAATATCATAAAAAAAGTAAATTCAGAATATAGCGGTTCATTTCTCCCTATAGAGTTCTGAACATTACTTGGCTATTATACCTATTTTGAAAGTGGACTCTTATCTGCTTACCTTTAAAAAAAAATGTGAAATTTTTGTAGAGTAAAAAATTAATAAAATTAATAAAAAAACAAAAAAAAGATGCACTATTAAATATCACAAAGCAAAAAACTAATGTCTATTTTCAATAAAATAAATATACAGGTTCGACCAGAACCTTCCTTGAAGTGTAGTGGTGAGAAACTAAGATATAATTTTATCATGATATGTAAAAAAAAGTGAACGTCATGATCATTGTGTTCTATTTTGAGCTCAGCATTAGTAATATTAATTCCTATTAATCGCTGCATTATTCCTAATGACTGTACCTATAGCAATTAGGTTTCTAAATCTAATAACCGTTCTATTTTCATAATCTACTTAGGGTTGGTTAGTCGAATTTTTACTTAGTTAATGACTCATTCATTTTTCAAATAAATTAATAAATAGATCAAATGTTGCACCATTTTTTATTTTCATAAAAATTTGGAAAAATTGCAAGTTCAAGTTATTATTAAATAAGTACGATAAAAAAAGTAAAACCCAAGATCAATGCCAACCAATGTCGGTGCGTCGACAGAACTCCAACTCAAATGGTTGATCAAAACACATGAAAAAATACTTGTACATATTGTGATTGTTATTAATAATGTTGAATTGTGGCTTCACTTATCAGAATTTATTCCCACAAGCTTAAAATCACATGATAGATATGGATCATTTATTATATAATCTCAGTAACTTTGATATAAATACAGTTATGTTTTATATTTGAATGTTTTGAATGAATGAATAGTTGCAAAAAAAACTTTGAATAAGCCACGAGTATCAAAGTTAAATCTCTTCCCTTACTTTGTAAACCTGTAACGCAGGCAATTTACAGTGCAACTTCACAACCTACTGTTTAAGGGATAGTTCTCTTTAATTATCTATCCTGCTTACTCATGGTAGTAGAAATAATTAGTATATCACTTGGAACAATTGGAATTTTATATTAATTTATTGGGAAATATAATGTAAAAGGTTAATTCAAGAATAATTAAAATAATTTAAGATTCAAATTTAACAAAATTTCTATATAATATAGATTGAGATCATAGTTATGAAATATTAAATGTGAAATGTATTAAGAAATTTTTAATAATTTTCAATAATAAATGAGATTCTATAATTAAATTTAAATAATCATTATTTTTTGTAATCTAGGAGGTAGGCTATTAAAATCACATTATGAATCATATGATTTACTATATCCGTAACTCGATTTTAATGGCAAACTTCTCATATATTTATTTAAATAATCTTTAAAGATTTTTTTATATAATAAATATAAAAAGTTTAAGAAAATAAATAATTATCATATAGTGTAATGATCGTGCCTAGACCCATTTCCCTTTTCCTTTAAAAATCATCTGATAGGCGTACAATGGTTATTCAAGTTCTATTATTCGCTTATTATTCATCAATTCTTCTGTATACAATTTTCATGAAAACTTCGTCAACTATCTTTCTGTCAAATTTTCATAACCGTTGAGGTAAAATTCTGCAAATGTAGAAAACAGTAGATTGAAAGCGTCATTCACTCAAAGCTTTAGATTTGTTGAAATTTTTATAAGATTTTCAAAGATGTTGAGTTGTTGAATAGTGCAACAGGAGGACCGCTCTGAAGTATTGATCATCAATTGTATTCTGTTAGAGGCTGAAGGAACCGTTTCCAGTAGATGGACTAATTGTCAATAGAAAAAAAAGTATATTTATATAAACAAAGACCAAAATGAGAACTTTGTAAATAACTTTCAAATATTTAGAATGAGCCGAGTTAACAACCTACTTTAAGCTTTCGTCATTTAATGCTCTCCATGTGAAAAACTGCTTGAGAACTTCTAAATCCGAAATTATTAAAAAATGAAATAGAACGGTGAATAAATGAAAACACATTTCAATAATATACAATTTAACAGTGGCGGATACTTCAATGAATCTTCTGTATGTGACTTGAATAGTTTGCTTAATAATTTAAAAAAATTAAACAAATGTTAAGCAAAGCTAGCTAAATAATTAAGCTACCAAATAATAAAAAAAATGAAAGGACGTTCTCGCTGAGCGAGAACCACGAAGAATTTCTGGTTCTCTACTTTATAGTTTAACTTACTGACAATGACACAAGTCTATTGGTATTAATTCAATCAAGAAAAATTCTTACCTCATTTAAATAGATATAGTCCCATCTTTACTCGTTCATTCATTGTTAATATACGAATACCTATATGATTTTTACTAAGAAATAAGTAAATATAAAATAAAGCTAGTAAGCAACTAAATAGATAAATAAAAGGGAGAAGGAAGTTCTCACTTCCAGTTCAAAAACATCTGACCAGCAAGATAAAATAATTTCTTAAACGCTGCTTTAAGTAGGTAAACGATTGGCCAATAGCGAAGGACGTTCTCGCACTTTTTTTGAGAGTAAACTTGCTAAATATGATAATGTTATTATGCAAAGGAAAATATAACTTATTGCTACTTCAGAATTAGTAGACCTTCACTCAAATAAACAAATCCTTAGACAAAAAATACTAAAGAGAAGGCCTCAAAACGCTTCCAATTCTATTCTACTGATTTATCAAAAGTGAAATGACAATGACGCAAGTCCACCTGGTATTAATTCGATAAGACAATTTCCTACCTAATGTAATGGTCATTCTTAACTTATCTGAGGCGGTCGTCTTTACTATGAAAAAAAGGTTCTTTTGTATTAAATGTATAATTGCCTGCAAAACTCTCAGGTTTTCGACGGGTCATTAGCAAAACTATAATAAAATCTCATTGGCAAAACCGTCGTAACTCAAAACCATAATAAAATCTGACAAAAGTTAAAACTTTATTAAAGTGTCGATATATAGGGTTCGACTTTTGTCATTTGCTAAAATGAGTTTTTGCCTGGCAATGAGAGAAGTAAGGAATTTTTTTTTATTTAGCCTTTTTTAGACTTGATAAAATAAAGTTATTTAAGACAATTTTTTTTTATAAATAATTTTAAACTTTATTAGTATACAAATATTTAAGTTAATTTATCACTTTAAATGTTTTAAATATAGATACAATAAAAGAAAAGTTATAAAAATTGTGTACTTCTATTAATTAATCACAATTCTAAAAAGTACGATTTATATTAATTTTAATTCTCAAGTAAGAAAATATCTTATAACAATTTGATACAAAATTATTAACAATAATTTTTATGTAATTTAGTAAACTATATTAATATTCTTATTTAAAACTTTTTATCACAAAATTGATACTAGTTTTTGATATTCTATATAGTAATTTAAATAAGCTAAAATTTGTCAAAATCAGATTAATGTAGCATATAATCAATTGTTATTAAATAATACAAATTATTCTTAAGATTATGTAAAACCTTTAAAATTACAAAGTTTGAATTTCAATTACATGTAAAACTCGAAGAAAATTCTTGCTGCATAATTTTTTTAATAAAACTGATTACCTATATTCTTTATATCCACCTAGACCAACTGGTCAACTTGTGATACTTTAATTTAAATTAATAATCATTATTAATGCTTAATAAAGAATACAATTCTATTATTTTATTTCCAATTAGGATGTTTAAATAATTCTAAGTTGCAATTATAAAGCGTTAACAACTTGAAAATCTTGGATTCCATGAAACTTGAGTAGATGATTCACATGATTTACAGATCCTCTTTGTGATTCTATATATAATTAGAAAATAAGAATTGCTATCAATTCATCTAATATTATCTTATTCTATAACTATAAGTATCATTTGAATTATTTGCGCATAAAATAAACATTATGAGCATTGTTTTTCGATGACATTAAAAGTTTTAATTAAATAAATAGTTAAAGTTATATTTAAATGTTTCATAATATATAAATAAGAATAATATTATTACATATATTCAAGACAATGATCATAATCCAAAATATTAAATTCAGTACTGACTATCGTAAACCTCACCTAAAATTTTAAACATTTTAACATATTGTAAAAATAAAACCTTTAAATATGAACTTTAATAGACATATCCTATTTAAAGAATTTGAATGCATAATTACACTGCATTTAATACTACTTTTTATTTCTGATCGATATCTTACCCAAAAAATTCAATAACGTATTTGATTATATAACACTTATCAAAGGAAAGTATAAGTTAAAAGCATTATATCATTAACATTCGATAGTATAACAGCAATATTAACATTAGAACATATAAATCAGTTGTCTTGCTAATATACATTTAGTTAAAACTATATTAAAATATATTAAATTTTTAGCGTAGATTGCGATTATGAATACTCCTAAATCTAAAATTGTAAAATTCAGCATTAATGTTACGTAATTGTTTCAAAACCATATTATATTAAAATTCCTATTTTTTATGTTCTATATCTCAAATCCAAATTATATGTATTTCTTAAATATAACTCAATACAGATCAAATATTGAAGCTAATCTAATAAGCTAAACATTACGAATTAGGATCATTAGATGTTCATGTTATTATTTGTTGAAGTTTGATTTTTTTTTTGAGAAATTCAGGTAAACCTGTTATCCTTAAATAATAATCAAACAAATTCAGAAGAAAAAAATTTTTTCTTTTATATGAATGTGAGTAGAATAATCTAATAATTATTCTATGATTTATGACAGCTCTCTCTCAAAATACTTCTTGAATAATTGCTTGCAGGTATTATTAATTAAAAATTTTCTAATTAAAAATTGCCAAAATTATATTTGAGAACCTTACATTAATTTTGCCTCTGACTAATTCGATTAGTGACAATCAAAATTCAAGTTTCTTATAATTTAATTTTGTATGAGAAAAAAATCTACTAGATTTGCAATATATCATTAAGCTTACTCGTACA